ACCCCCAGTATGTCCTCGGGTTTGGTTAAGAACCCGGTTAACGATTCGGACCCCCGGTTTGGGTCGTTATATTTCATACAGCAGAACTCTATTTTGAATCCCACCTTCTCATCCCCCTCCCCAAACATATCTAGCACTGCCAGGATAAAAAAATAAAAATAAAAAATAAAAAAATTAAGTTCACTATTATTTTTTCCAAGTGCCTCACCATGTTGCTTCTTACTTGCAACCCCTAAATATACATAAATAGCAGGGTGAATGGCATTAAACCCCCTTTTTCTATTGGGTTTAGCAGTGAACACCCTTTTTCTAATTTTTGTCAAAAAACCCCCCCTCAACTATTCGAGGGGGTGATTTAATAGACGAGAGTTAACTGAGTGAGATTTGAAATAAAAATTGACTAACGTGCCCACTAGGCCTATTTGGACATATACTTTGTCTTTGATTTTTTATTTTTTATTAAATAACCTAAAATATATAAACTCTTGCTCCACGCCTCATGATAGCGCTTCAAACCTCACGCCTCACTCTCGCTTCAAACCTCATAATAGAGATTAATACTTTCATTCATGGTACATAACACTATTAGGTTTTTAAGGTGGTGGTAGTCCTGTGGTCCCTGTGGTGATTTCTTTTGAGAAGAAGACAAGACAAGAAAACAACAATTACTTTTCAAAGAAATTTGGTATGTTTGAAATTAGAGTTTGTTTGTTTCTTATTGAGATTGTCTCTAATTGTTTATGATTTTAAAATTAGGATTTTTGTAGTTTAATAACGTTGTATGCTTTATTAAGTTGTAAGCTTAAAGAAAGACAAACCCCTTTAATGAATTTCACTTCATAAACTTGATTATCAACCCACTTCCCAACTTGACCGGACACGAGCAAGCCTGAAGTATTTGTCTAAGCCACTTCAGTTTCTTTTGTGTACATTGTCAAAATATGGTACTTTTTTATATGGTACATATGCTAAGGTTCTTAAAAATTAGGACTTTTTTAAATTAGGGCATTTTCCACTTTTAAATTGTCAAAATATGGCACTTTTACACCTGATTGGGGCTTTTTTTTGTTCAAGGAGTTACTTTTAATTATTAGTTTCTCGAAAACAGACTATGAGCAATCTGTTTTGATGCCACATCCATTGTTACTGATCTAACTTTTCAATAGGGAAATAATGTAATAAATGGATGAAGATTATTATCAGGACCAAAAAAAAAAAAAATGGATGGAGAAATTTATCAATATTATTTGATGTCCTGAAGACTTTTATTGTTTGAAGTGCTAAACTCTTTCCATCTGTATATATCAGAAAGTACTTTGGAATCAAATAGAAGATATATATATTTTTTAATTTTTAATTTTGTTTAATGTAGTGTGTTAATGTAAAAGTACTTTGGAATTAACTTTCTACTTGTTGTTAACTTTCTGGAGTTAAATAATATTGTTATATTATTCGGAAAACTAATGGTAAAATATTTAAAATTAACAAAGTTTGTGTTATTTGCTTTGCTAGATGTTAAAAGTAGAATTATCATTTTAGCCATCCTTTTTTTTTTTTTTTTTTTTTTTTTAATCATTTTATCCATTTATCCATCTTGCTGGTTACTTTTGAACAAATTACTATTTTATATTTTGTGTGAGTTCTTGTGCTACAGATCATGCATCTCATTTTTAATGAATTTTCTAGTACTTAAATATATTTGTAAGCATAGAACTGATTGATAGTCCTATTTTAAGCATAAAACTTATATATCATTTGCTGACACTATGACATTATGTACATATTCTCACTATTTTCATGTTGTATTAACTTGGACAGCTTTTATGAAAAGTTATTCGTATTAGAAGTTCATCATGGGGGTAAGTTTGAGAATTTTGGGTTATCATATAGTGGAGCTAGAATACATTATATTGAAGAGGTCGATGTTGACTGTTTGTCATTGCTTGAATTGCTATATCAATTGCTGTGGACCTAGGTTATGGAAGGAATGTTGATTTTTATTAATGATCACATTTGGCTAGTGGTAATGAGTCATTGAAAAAGATATCAAATGACATTGATGTGATTGAGATGTTTGAAGCCTATAAGAAGTTTGCATTAGTAAAAGTATTTATAATTGAACATGAAAAAGTTATAGTGGCACATGATGAAGAATCTGCATTTGGTAAAGATAGGTTAGAAGATATGGATGTTGCAGTGGGTGATAAAGAAGTTGCAATGGGTATGCATAAAGCTGCAATGGGTGATGAATAAACTACAGTTGATGATGTGTATGTTCGAGTGCTCAATGAAGAAGCTGCAGTTGAAGTTACAACTGACACTGTGAATGTTCCAGCTACAGAAGATGTAGAATTTCAATCGTTTATAGATGATGAAATGGTACAAAATACTGAGAATTTGGTGGACATCGAACCACAAAATGCAGAGGATATAGTGGACTGTGAAGATGGGTTAGAAAATGTGGATGCCTATAAGAATCCAGTGCTGAATGAAGAACATTTTACTGATGTAGATTCGGAGTATGCACCCACGGATGAGTTAAGGAGTATTTGTGGGTCTGAAGATGATGAGGTTACATCTAGATACCAAGATTTTGATCCTCAAAGAGACTTGGAAAATGTAGAACTTGTAGTGGGCCAGAAATTTGCAATAGCTGCTGAATTCAAAATGGCTTTAAGGCATTATGCAGTGACAAAGAAATTTGATGTCAAGTTCAAAAAAAAATAAGAAAAAGCTAATCACTGTCGTATGTAGCCAAAGTTGTGGGTGGAGAATACGTGTATCTCAAACTCAAAGTGAGAGTTGTTTGAGCATAAAAACACTTATTAAGGATCACAACTGTATTGCAATTCAAACAAATCATCTTGCAACATCAACTTATATTGCAAACAGATATACAAAGGCAATTAGAGATAATCCAAATTGGGAATTTAGTTCAATGAGACAAACTGTTACAAGGGAACTCGCAATTGATATCTCCATGTAGAAGATTTATAGGTCAAAAGGAAGAACAAAAGAGGTGGTTGAGGGGAACCATGGGGAACAATATTTGAATCTTAGAAAGTATTGCCAATTGATTCAAGAAACCAACCTAGGAGAGGTTCAGTTGCAGATTCATTAGCAGTAAGAACTGGTTTGGCTGGAAGAATAGTTGAAATAAGAGGTCCAACTAGTATTGGAACAAGAAGTGGTCTACTCAAGGTACTTCCATGAACATAAAATAAGTGATTTTGATTTATAATTTCCTATAACCAAATTTATATTTTTCATATTTGATGTGTAGGTGAGAGTTACTTCAACACAACTCACTCATGGTAGTGGCTTTGAGATACCTCCTTCAACACAAAACACTCAAGTATCCTCTTCAAGGTATATTAGTGTCATCAGTAGACATGGTGACAAAATACATTTGTGTTATTAAATAATATAGGCGACGCATTGTTTGAGGCTTATTTAACTTTATTTTTTCATTTGGCAAGAAGTGATTATATTGAGGCGAAGATTTGGCAGTTAGTGAACATATGTTTTTGGTCATGGATTATGTTACTAGAAATGTGTTTTGGTGGTTTTGGTCATGTGTATTTTGGGAGTTTGTGTTTTTGCTGGTGGTTTTGCTCGTGTGCGCTTTATTTTTGGTGGTAAAACAGTTGCTAATGTGTTTGGCCATGGTTGTTTTTTGGATATATGATATTTTGGACTTGTAGATTTTTTGGACATGATGCTGGACTTCTAAATGAAATTGCTAGTATGTTGTTGGACTTTATATATTTTTAAAAGTTTATATATTTCAATACGTACATGTTAAACTTTTAATAATGGGTTGTTTTATTATGCTTTTCTGTGTGAGTTCTGAAAGAAACAATGTCGGATAGACCCAATTACTTTAGTACTCAATGTCTGTATATATAGTAGATGTATATTAGCATTAAACTATGTTTTTCAACTAAGAGTCTTTACTTGGAACACCATAGACATGAACTTGGAAGCTGTGAAATTTGATTATTAATTTTATTTTTTATTTTTTGCATAGGATTGTTTTTCTTAGGATTCAATATTAGTTTTTTTTTTTTTTTATTTAAATTTTATATTTGCATTTGATATTTTGGAGTCTTAAAAAAAAAATCAATTAGGGTCATTGTTGGGGTGTCCGCAAAAAGAAGGGATTGCAGTGTTGTCAAGAACATTAGTGGCTTGTGTCAACCCATATTAGATTTCAAATTAGGCAAGAGTAAGTGGATGTTCTTTAGCTTAAGACATGTATTTTATCTCCATACATGTAAGACCCTTTCGTTCTCAAATTCATTTGATTAACTTGCTATGACCATATCAACTTCTATGGCACTTTCGAGGTTAACGAGAACATCTCAATTTTTTATCATATTTGTACACGTGATGGATGATCTTAGTGATCTTTTCTCCTTGGAGATAATTTTTCATCAGTAGAAATAAAAATAAAAGGATGAAAGAGATCAAATACAAAAAAGAATCATCTTGGAACTTAACACTCACCAGTTGCATAAGCTAAAAGAAAAGTAATAGTGAATGCTATCATTCTTTTTCAAGTAGATGCATTGACAATTTTTGGGGAAAAAAAAAAGGCCATCAGAATGATGTAAAATTAAAATGAGTGAACCGTGGTTGGATAATAAATGAATTTTTCTTTTTCTTATTTCTTTTCTTTTTTCCCTTTTTGTGAGTGTTTGCTTAAATTATCTGTTTTCATGACAAATATTACACATTATGCCCTTCAACGTCCAAATGTAACTTCTTGCACATTTACGAGTACAAACCATGTGAAGGATATATACATGGGTATATATAAAATAAGCAGAATAACAGTTTTGTCTAAAAAAATATCTGAAAAAACTTAGTATCCAGAAGTCCAAGTCAACTAACATCCTTTTATTCTGCATCCAACGGTTTGCAACTTACCTCCACGCATCCAACGGTTCCCAAATTATCTCTGTCAAGGCTGGATTGAGATCCGTTTAATACAAAAACCCAACATCTCAGATTCTCAGACAAAGCCGCCTGTTTCTCTCTCATTTTCATTACTCTTTTAAGTGTCACGGTTCTCCACTCTTCGCATTAACTCAATCATCTTTAGTCAATCATGTTGCAGTACAAGAAGGTAAAATCCAATTTCTTTTGATTGGCAGGTGAATTGTCTAGCATCGACTCATTCAAATAAAATCAGTTTTCATGTAAAAAAACTCACTCATTCAAACACACTGGAAAATGGATTTAGTATCAAATTGTTTTAATCTTGAAATGCCCGAGTACAATTAATACATTAATTTCCAAAAATCAAAACTATTTTTTCAGATCTGATCGATTTGATCCTTCGTGTTTTTTATTTGTCTATTTCTGTAAATGATCAATAGGAAGCCAGTACTTGGATTCTTGGTCATCCGAAGGAAGGTGATTTGACGTGTCAGAAGGTGTTTGTGATGGATGATCCGATAGATCGAGACTATGGTGGCGTACGAATTTGTATGAGCACACTAACTGCGTCTCCTTTTTTTTTTTTTTTTTTTTTTAAGTAATATTTATGGTTTTCTTAGTTTTCATACATTTCTCTTTATTTATTTTTTTTCTTATTCATTTTCTTTTTCACTGGATCAATCTGAAACGAGTACATGTTTTGCACATAACTTGTATCAGCTATTTTGGTTTATGTGAATTTTTTTGTTCTCTGGATCATGGATTCATCTTTGTTTAGCTTGTCTTAATATTGTTAATTTGTGATGGGGATTTTTAAAACCCATTTCCCAGTAGCATATCACATATGCGGGAATGTTGGGAGGGAAGACCTGAAAGTAGGTCTAACATTTGGGCATATATTCTGATTGGATCAGCCATCTCCCATCTGATCCCAAGCCGGTGAAGTTATTCTCCGTTGTGATAAACTAATGAATATTTTGTGAATGAATTTATATACTCAACTAGTTATTAAACAGATATCCTAGATAATAAGTGTGTAGGTTTTAAAATTTTTTTTTTTTTGTCCAAAAAAAATTAAGGGCAAACAATGCTTAGAATAAAAATAACCAGCCTAATGCAAAAGATAAATAAAATATGAAAGAAAATGAAATATAAAATTAGATCTTAGGAGTAAGTAAGAAAAAACATGCTTCTTTGTTTTTGACCATGGCTCCGAGTCAGTGATACTGTTGGTACTATTATTATTATTTTTTGTTGAAAGGTACTCATGTATATATGAAGAGAAAAATGTACAATAAGTCCAAATTGGACAAACAGGCCACAACAATAGATCAAAGAGAAAAAAACCAAAGCCATAAGAGGCAATCCAAAGACAGCAATAAAAGCCACAACACTGGCTGTACAACTCCATATGCCCAACAAACCAACCTAGAATCCGGAACAAAAACCTCACATACTGGATGAGCCAATAATGCCACCACCAGCAAATGAGCAGCCCTGTAAAAATAATTACTGGAGCTCCTCCAACCAAGAACTGTAATGAATATAAGTGTACAAATACTTTAGGCCCAAATATATAGTTTTGAAGGCTCAAGTCCGCAATCTCATTCAACCCAAGCCAATAGCTGCTAACAATCTTATTCCTCCCATCAATGTGCTTCGAGTTATCAACAAAAATCTTACACAAATACTTCATTTTTTTTTTTTTTTTGGGGGTAATAAGTGTGTATAGAAAGAAGAAAACTGTACGTATATACTTGGGGCATACCCTAAGGCCCAAACAAAAGAAGCCCATCAAGCGCAGCGGGCACAAAGAAGGAACCACTAAACAAAAATTCTCATTTATAGTGGTCACTGGATATGTTATCGGCGGGTTAGTAGCCCGAAAAAACAATATTTTTATAGGCATGTGGCACTGCCACGTGACCAGGAGGGTGTGTGCATGTGTTCCAAGGTATCCGGATTTTTGATTTTGAACCTTATTTGACAAGTTGGTTATTCTGTGTATAATTGTAACTTGTGGCCTTTTTCGCTTTTCATTGTATTGTATATGTCTACTTGTGATGAAATGGTTTCTCTTCTTGTTAAATGCATGATTTTGTGAACATGCTTGCTTTAGAATGATTCCTATAGCTATTAGGTCCCTGAAACTGCACGTTAGGGAACATGACCTTTGTGTTGCCTGGCATACTTTATGTTTATGGGGCCCGAAGAAACATAGATTAGTTGTATGACATTCTTTCCTACTGTGCATTATTTGCTCACCCCTTCATTTTTGAGGAAAAAGGTGCAGCATTGTAGGATACTCCTCTTCCTAAACCATGGAGTCGCTAGTTGATTTTTATTTTTATTTTATGACTGTTGAAGTTCATGACTTGCTACGTTGTAGCTTTTGTTTAGTTTGAACTCACATGTATAGACAACGTTCTTTTATGATATGTGTATGTATTTTTGGAAGAGGGAAATGGCGTAGGAACTCACTCGTGTATCTTTTGTAGTTCGTATGGAATTTTCTCTCTCATTTCTACTCATGTAATCTCATATCATTATTTCTCACTTCATTTTCTAGTTTGTAATGAGGCCATGTAGGTCATAACTTCTATTTGGACTATATATGTATCCTTGTTACCTTTTGGTTCATGGTGGTTATAGAATGTTTCCATATCAATTAATTTAGACTATGTGTTAGAAATTGAATTCATGCAACTAGTATGATAGGAATTGAAGGGGACCTTGTAGGTACCTTATTTTGGCACATAATTTCATGGGGTGGTACATCATTGAGACTATTTTATTTCTTGATGGTTTTCCATCTTTGAAGCAGGTTTAGGGGCCGTTTGGAAGTAGGCTGTAGGGGCTGTATTGAGGCACAGGTATTTGGGACTGTTTTGGACAGATTTTAGAGACTTTTTTGGATGGATTTTAGGGACGGTTTTGGACAGATTTAAGGGGCTTTTTTAAGCATACTTATAAATTAAGTATTTGTAGTTTCACTTGCCATGCGGATTAGTGTGGTATAGCTTCTGCTTTGGGACCTGGTTTTCAGGTTTGGTTTTATTTCTTCATAATTTATTCTACTTCTTTCTCATGAACCGGGTCTTCAAGATTTGGGGTGTGATAAGACAATCTCAACAGGGAGCAATGGAACCTCCACAATTTTCCTTTGGCAGCCAAAAGATCCTCTTCCTATTCTTGAGCAACCCTTTGAGCTTAGCCACTTCCTTAATCAATTCAAACTTAGAGTAATCCGTGATTGAGACATTTAAACCCTCAGGAAAGTTCATAATATCTCTGCTGCTCTTGTTGGATGGATTAAGAATCATATCTTGCTGAAGTGTATTCTTAACTTTAGCCAAGGTGACGCTTGGAACTGATGGAGGTCTTGGTCTAGAGTGATCATGATCGAGAGACAGGAGAAAGTGAAATGGTAAGAGGAACACGACAATCCTCCTTTTGAACAGAAATGGAATGCGAAGGCCTTGAGATATAACCATTTTTCACAGTCAAAATTCTCAGAGAACGACACTCTTTTAGAGGATTGTGGGGATTTCAGTGGTAGGTGGGTGGTTTCTGTTGACACCTTTTTTGGTAAAATTGCATGGGTATTGACGTGGCAGTGTTTGAACTACAGGTGGATGGTATTTTTCACGTTGATTAGAGTTGGAATTTCATGTAAGAGTGATGAAGATTAGAGAAGCCTTTGAATTAGCTAATGGATAGGGATCAAGTGCTAGTATTTATCTTTTAGTTGGTTTTAGTTAAATACTAATGGTTATCCATAGATTAGTTTAATTTAAATTTATAGTTAGTTTGGTTATAGGGTTGTAATGTAAGTGAAATACTTCTATGTAGGAGTTGGTTTACGTATTTTTCTATAAATAATTGTAGAGGCATGCTGAGAAAAAGGTCCAGCACCCTTAGAATCTTTTATTATTATTGTTGCTTTCTCAAGCTCCTTCCCCATGTAGCATCCTTGCAATTTCTATCTCTCTTCCTCTCTATTCAGTCTCATTCTATCTATCTCTCTCTCTCTCTCTCCCTCTCTCTCTCTCCCTCTCTCTATCTCTTATCCCTATCACCTTCTATATCTATATTTTCTCCCATTTCTTTTTTGGTTAAATGATAAGCTTGTATATAAGATTAAAAGAATGTACATGAGATCCCAATTAAGGGGAGACAGCAAACAAGGAAGAACAACAACTAGAGGCCACTCCAAAAAAAGACATCTACAACAACTATAGGCCACAAAATAGACAAAGAAACATAATACTCAACAGAATAATTCTCCACCACAGTAGCAGTATGACCATTCCCAAATTGTACAGGCTCAATACCATGGTTCAGGGTGATAGTAAAAGTTGTCAAGCCAAGGAGGCACACCCTTGTTGAAACAATAGTTGTAATTCTTGGATAGATACAATTTTCTTCAAATCAAAACTGGTTGTGAGCTTGGTTGTTGCAAGCCTGGTTCTAATGCAACTTTTCACCTGAGTTATGATGCTAGAGGATGAGGTTGATTTGTTATTAAAAGCTCTAGCATTCCTTTCCATCCAAATAAAATACACAGCTGCAGCGAAAAGTAGTTTGTGAACTAAGAATTCGAGTTCCAGTGAGAAGAACACTAATGCAGAAGTTGGTTCCACCTATCAGGCCTGATGTAAAAATATGACTTACTCTCGATACCTCCCACCGTAACCACTACTTGCCATTAGAAAAGAATCTTTATACGGCAATACCATGCTGACAAATCCCAAAAGGAAAAATGAGCACAAAAACCAAAATGTTCAACATCCAATCGTCTCCTCAAAACCATGTACAACACATCCAATCACTAACACTTAACCGGTTACCCGAACTACTCATCCCAAGGCAATTTACGCGCCTAGTCAAGGAAAATTCACACTTTAGGTTCAACATCCTTACCTCTCCTCTTCACCGTTCCTCAGAACACCCTTAGCCCCGACAAAAGTCAAATGGGGCTACCGGCTAAACCTACGAGATCACTCTCATCCCAAACATTCTAATCAACCATCTATCTCTTCAGATCCTTAAACAATAAGCACCACCCCCAAATACTCCAGACATAATTGGAATACAACTCCAGTCCACAACTTTCAATTTTCCAAAACACAATCATTTTGGTAACACAGTACCCATCACTTATCACTTAAATGACCCTATACTACCTGCCTTATTGTGTAATCCTGCACTACACAACTAAAACTGACCACTATATACCAATTCGAGACTCTCTCAACAACCGTGCCAACCTATGGCCCCACTCACCAACCGAGCCATGCAATCAACTCTTCTAGAGTCAATCACCCGTAAAACACTCTCATACCTTCCTGAAATGGGAATCACCCTTGACTAGTCAATCTCTAAAATAGACTCTTACAAAACCACAAAATGAACCACATCTAGTGGTCAGTCACCTAGTCATGCCTACGTCGTCCTAGACTTACAGAGTCTAACGAGTCCCCCTTAACAACTATAACCAACACATTTCCTTAGACCATACCAGAATACCTAAAATACACTTTTACAAC